CTACACAATCTTGGAAACAATCTTGGAAACATAACATAATTTGGAGGCTCAAATAAGATGTGACTGCATATTGTACCAGTAAGCACACAAAAAAAATTGGCTACATTAAGCTGGGAGGAGCTGAAGAGCTTTGGACAGCACCTGGTGACCTGCTTGTACCTGAGCTGGAGCTTTTCAAACTCAAGCTCTTCTTGCCACGTACCTGGAGATCTCAGCAAAGCAGTCAAATCTGTTGACAACCTGAATGCAGGTGTTCATCAAATAAAAAAAGCACAGCCTGGATATCAAGAGCAGGGGTACTATGGGGCTACTCATTCTAGGAAATGCATCGTGTGCAAATAGCTTCTGATGATTGATTGTTTATGTGACACCTAAATGTACGTGGAGGATCTGAACAACACTCCAGCACTCCATCTCAGATGTTCACACATGCTTCCATCCACAGATCTGAGGTTTCCTGAGGGAAAGATTCTAACATCTTTACTAGAAAGCAGAAGCACCTGAAGTCAGACCAAAAGCAATTACAAATCCATCGCTAGCTCAAACATGCCTTGAGACTTGCAGTCAAGCACACCCACTTCTGAGCAATACAGGTGGTTCATTCAACACCAAGCATCCAAACAGCCAACCCAGGGGGATAAAAACAACAATTTAAGGCAATTTTAATTTTGTTAGAAGTCAATATTCAACCTCTTCTCTGCAATCAACAGAACACAGATCAGAGCTCTGTATCATCAACCAAACCACAGAAATATGACAGCAGATGAAACCAGCCTACAGCTGCAAGTTCTTCTCAGAACAAAGACAAGAAAGAGGGGACCTCTAGAAGAGATCTACCTTAAAGAAGGCCCTATAGAGACTTTGCCACCAGAAGCCAGATCAAAAAAAGATGAGGATTTGCAGCAACAATAGATTTTTGGTTATTTTTTTTTTTTTAAACATAATGAAAATCATCAATATCTGGCACTCCACCATTAAATGCAGCATCATACCTAGCAGACTAATAGAACTCAGCTTTCTCAACAAAAATGGAAGCATAAACAAACATTGCTTGTAAATCATTGGAATATGCACACAAAAATAAACCTTCCAAATTAGGAATCCCTTCGCAGCCAACTGTGCTGCACAAAGGATGCTCAATCCAGCACCACCAGATACTTCAAATCAAATTAATTCACTTTCCCAGGGAATTGAAGAAGCTCCAAGTTTTACTCAGCAACCTCTCACCCTCTAATTTGGTATAGCAGCCAACAAATGAAATTCTCTCTTCCTTTTCACAATACAGTTCCCATACCAGCTTGGGAAGAATCCAATGTCTTTTAAGAAATGGGTCTTTACTGAGTATTGACAATTAAAAAACCAACCATACACATGTGCTGTGCAAAGCCTCCTCTGCTCTTATACTCACACCAATCCTTAGTGCTGATGACCAGCCGGGGCTAGGCTGCCATTTAAGAACACTTCCAAACACCCTGGTCCCACCTACCCAGAGACCTAGCACTGCTCCTGCACTAAAAGCCTTGAGCAGGTTTTCCAGTGCAGGTTCATTCAGTGCTGACTGACAGAAAACAAGCCCAAATTTTAAGAAAATAACTTCCCAAAAGGAGTTTCTGATGTAGAAAGAGTGAGACACGCCGAGCTGTGCAGGCTCAGACATGCTCCCAGCCACAGTGCAGGGAGCTGCAGTCAGCACCTACAGCTTCACCTCAGCACACATAGAATGGCCTGGGTTGAAAAGGATCACAATAAGCATCTGGTTTCAACCCCCTGCTATGTGCAGGGTCACCAACCAGCAAGAGCCACATCCAGCCTGGCCTTGAATGCCTGCAGGGATGGGGCATCCACAACCTCCTTGGGCAACCTGTGGCACATCACTGCTGGGATCCCACTGAGCCCCAGCAGTCTGCCTGCAGGGGGATGGTGTGGGCTGTTCCAGGCAGGGTGGGTTTTCATCCCAGATGCAATGGCAGCAGAACACCCTCAGCGTCTGTTCTCCACCTGAAGAAGGAATACTTCGGTGCCAAAGCATCTGTTGGAAAAGTTCACTTTTAGTTTTACACCAAAAGCCAAAGTTCAACTTTTCACCCAAACTCCAGGACTTTGAACAGTAAATAATGACAACAGGGAGCCTGTGCTTGCTGCTCTATTAGAAGCAGGACCTGTGAGAGGGCATCAGCAGAAAGACAAGTAGTCAGAGCAGCCCACAATCAGAATTCAGGGTGTAATTCCAAAGAGGCGCAGCTCTAGGAAAGTGTTTAATAAACAACAGGGAAGAAGACAACTCAAAGCATTTAACCTGTCTTTCTTGAAGATCAAAGAGCAGACTCAGGAACTACAGATGCATGTGCTCACCTGGAGCATTTCTGCAGCACCGACAATAAAATCAGCTGGCAGTTTCTTTGCACTGTCCTGAGTCTGAAAAATACTTGGGGAACACACTGAGTGACTCCAGGTGAGCTGCAGAGGTGGGCACATTTTTAAAGGCTCCTCTGTGTTTCTTCACCATCACCAAACCACTCTTTTGCCCGAGTGATCTGAGAAAAGCAATGTTGAGATAACTCACCCCTCCCAGCAGAACTGCTGATTTGTTTTAAGTGTTAAATGCAATTCCTAATGAATACACTGGAAATATTATTTCAAAACACATTACAGCTCAGATTACACACAGCACCATCTCAAAGGCCTACAACAAGGAAGTAGCTTCAGGCCTGCTGACTGCATCATTATCAAAGAGGAGGATGCCACATTTATGAAAAAGGTTTGGTTTTTTTTTTCCCCACAATTAGCCTCTATGAACATATCTAATAAGGAGAGCTCAGTCACCAAACAAGTGCCCTTAGCCCTGCTGTGACCTCCTCACCATTTCCTGCACACCAGCATTAATTCTGACACAGAGAACGAGGAAATATCACTGAAGTGCTGCAGCTTTAGCAAAAAAAAAGTGATTTGATGGTCTCATTGAGAGGAATTATTTGCAGGACAGAATGATTATAAAAGATTCAGATCCTAGTTCTACACCAAGAAATCTCCTGTTGTGCCACTGCCTAACATCACCTTGGTTAGAGTGGATTACAGCACCGACTTCCATGTAGTCCTTCAATGTAATAAAGGAAAGGTGCATCCAGAGAAGGGAAACATGGCTTGGTTGAAGCTTTTTACAGCAAAAGAGAACAGGATTGGCATATTCAGGCCGACACTGCAGCGAGGTGGGAGCTGGGAATGGGACAGGAGCTGTACAGTAGCCATAGCTCAGGGAAGCAGCACCCTGGCACAGACACCCGAGGAGAACCAGCAGCACCTGTCAGCATGGCTGGCCGGAGCCTGGGCTGCTGAAAGGCTACACCTCACAGGCTGCAAGCCCACTGCAAGAGCCATCACCATGCAGCACCAGCTAATCCTCCCATACCGCTGTATACCTTACACCAAGTTAAAAGATTTCCTTTTTTTACACATGCACACCCCCATCCAACAGGGCTAATTAACTAATCCTAATTTTAAAAAAAAAAAATTATGCTTTCAAATTTTTGCTGCTGGAGTCGTGAAATCCAAGTCATTTTGATCACTGAAGACCATCCCTGGAGGTGCTCAAGAAGTGTTGAGATGTGGGGCTGAGGGATGTGGTTCAGTGGTTGGTTGGACAAAGTGATCTTGGAGGCCTTTTCTAACCCTGGTGATCCCATGATTCTTCAACTGTAACTCAAATACGTAATGTTTAACAAAAGGGCTCAAGGGGTTGTATGTAAGCTACTGTTACTTCACTCCTACAAAAGAAAGCAGCACTCCAGCACAAACCAAGAACGCCGTGGTTATACATAGTAACCCCACTTTCCAGCTTCTGCTGTTCCTCTCCCCAGGAACATCACAGAACAGCAAAAAACAACAAAAAGCCCACACCACAACAGCAGCGTCTCAGTGTCACATGTAACACAGGTAGCGTTATTCATATTATCAAGACCACATGAATGAGGCAGGAAAGCATTTCCTGCCCTGCACCACTTCTGCAAAGCAAACTCCTGAACACCTCTAGAGAAGAGGCCTTATTTTACATCACATCAGCTTGCAATGGTATTATTCGTTATTCCCTTACTCCCTCTGCAGATGCAGATTTGCAATATTTACTATAAGGCTGTAGGAAAAGAGAAAGAAGCGAAAAGAAAAAGTTGACTGCTTTGCCATATTATTGTTTATTAGTTCAGCAACTCCACACAAGTTTCATTTTGTTCCCAACTGTTGCTATCCAGACTTTCAACTCCGACTCCCAGTTTCAAACTGGAAGTTTCTGGAGTTCATTTCATGCTGTTAATGGGTAAAACGGGCAAAGCAGAGTTCGCCTCAGTGTCTGCTGTTAATGATTTCTGAAACAAGGCGCTTCACCTCCCTGCATCCTTTGCAGGGACGGGATGTAAACAAGAAGAAGGGCACTAACCCAAACGCGAGCCAGCTCACCGGGACTGCTAGCAGAGGTGGGTTTGAAGGTGCAAGCAGCAATAACGAGGAAACCCCACATCGCAGACAGCAGCAACCCCACCGCGCTGTGACAACCGCCGGGTTTCCCCGCACCACTCTCACTCCTTTGCTTTCCGTTTCTCACATTTTCTCCCCAGCTGCAGCCTCCCCCATTACCTGCACTTCTGCTTTCCACAAAGAGCCTTCACAAGGCCAGAATAAAAACAAAAAAAAGCAGCGAGGAAAAGGCTCGGCTGGCCCCATGTGCGAGCAGAGAGACCAGGGGAGCTCCACAACCCCTCCGCTCAGCCTTCTTTCCTCTTTAACGACGCGGCCCCACGCCGCCTCGCCCAGAAACGCCCCTTTAAGGCCCCCCCGGCCCCAAATCCCCCCCCATTAATCTCTATCAACAGCCCTTCTCCCCCCTCGCCGGCAGCAGCCCGGCCCGCCGCCTTCCCACAGCGGGGCCTGCAGCCCGCAGGCCTCACCCTGCCCCCCTCGACCCGGGGCCGAGGCCTCTCCAGGCCGTTGACCCCCAGCCCCCGGCCCCTCACCAGTTGGTCATATCGAGGAAGAAAGCGCAGCCGGCCGGGCTGAGCTGGAAGCCGAGGAGCCTCTGGAACTCGCCGATCAGCACGTCCTTGTCGGTAGTACCCAAACAGCTGAACTTCTGCATCAGCTCCGCGTCCAAATCCACGTCCATGCCCTCCATGGCGAAGCGGGCCCCGCCGCCCCGGGGTCGCCCCGCTGCCGCCGCCGCCGCCTCAGCGCCGCATGGGGGCGAGGGGGGAGCGCGGGCACGGCGGGGGGCGGGGGGGAGGGGAGGGGGCGCGGGCGACGCCAGGCGCTAACGGCACCGCGCATGCGCCGCTCCGCCCCGGCGCACGCGCTTGTGACGTCACCACGCCGGCGCTTCCCCGCGTTCTGTACGGAACTGGGCTGTTGCGGAAGGAGAACCGCAAGGGCGAGCGGGGAGCGGATGCAAATGAGAGCGTGGCGTACGCCTGGCGTGACGCGAGGGCGCAGCGCGGGCCAATGAGAGCGGTGGAAGGGAAAGCGATTTGCATAACCCCCCAGCCGCGCGTTCCCATATATGGAGGCGGCGCGGGAGGTGAGCCGCGTGTTTATGTATGCAAATCAGTCACGTGCGGACGGGCTGTGTGACGTCACCGGGCTCCGTGGGGCGGCGCAAGGGCTGCTGGGACGGCGGGGCGGCTCTGCCCCTTCGGGCCTGGAATTTTCCTCCAAGTGGTTTTTTTTGCCTGAATTCCCTTCAAAATGTCGCTTTTTGCTAAAGTTTCCCTTTCTATAGTGGCAGTACCACGCACTGAGCCCTGACATCAGCGCCACAAGTTGCGTCTCATGTGGGAAACCTGAGTGATGTCTCTGACACAGGCCCTGACCACCCCTCAGCGCTGATGGAGCACAGGGCAGCCCCTTATGCCTCCATTTCTGGGCTTTAACATAAGCATGTTATGCTACAAAAGGCGTTCTCCTAAACGCAGGCCCAGCTCAGGGCTTTGCAGTGCTGTGCAGGGCGGTTTTGCTCTGTCAGTGCCACCCTCGTGTTTGGGTGCATGGGTGGAAATGAGTAGCGGCTGTACAGGGAGGTGGGGGTCAGTGTGGGGACTGCACAGAAAGACAAACAGTGGGATTCCAAACAAAATAAATAGAGCATATCGTCTTGCGGTGCTCGTTCTTTGCTGTAGGACTTCAATAAGTAGTGCTGCCCCTGTCCCTGCAGCCCCAGCCAGCAGGGTGGTGCTGTCAATGCCCATGTTGTATTCTGGATCTTGTGATCTGTGATGCTGGTACAGACTGTGGTGGCAGGGCTGTGTCCATGTGGCTGTGCCAAGCGCCTGCCTGCCTCCATGGTGTCTGGAAAGCCCCGGGTTCAACCACAGGATCGTAGAATGGCTCTGTGATTGAAGGCTCTGTGGTGGCTTTGTGGAAAAAGGGGCCTTAAATCATAGATGGCTCTGTGATAGAAAGGAGTTTAAATACCATTCAGCCCCAACTCCTCTGCCATGGTCTGAGTGCTCTCCACCAGGTCGGGATGTCCAGAACTCCATCCAGCCTGGTCTTGAGCAACCCCAGGGATGGGGCACTCACAGCTTCTCTAGGCACAGTGCCAGGATCGCACCACTGCCTGCGAACCTCACCCGTGGCACTGGCACAGCTCCCCAGGGCTGTGGGCACAGCCCCAAGTTGCCAAAGCTCAAGGGGCATTGGGACTCTGCTCTCAGCCATAGAGTTTGGGTTTGGGTGATGCTGCATGGACATGGGGTTGGACCCTGCGGGTCCCTCCCAGCTCGGGTCACTTCACGATCCTGTGGTTTAGTGATACAAGCACAGATGTGGATACGGGCAGAGCCGGGGAGCCCGCTGCTCCAAGAGCCGAGAGAACGCGAAGGCAGCGCGCTGTTTTGTTTGTCCCTCTCGCGCCACCGTCGAGAGCGCGCCGAGCATCCTGTGGGCCCGCCGGGGTCACGTGGCGGAAGGAGCTGCCGTGTCGCCGTCTGATTGCGTCACTTCCTGGCGGCGGCGCGCGGGGAGCACCATGCCCAAGTGAGCGCGGCCCCGGGCAGGAAGGCCTCGGGAGGGGCTGTGGGCTTCTGGAGTCTGTTAGGGCTCGAGGCCACCTGGTTCGGTAGCGGGAGGGCTTCGGGCTCGCGTTGGTTCCGTTCTCTGGCAGTGTGGGAAGATGGAGGGTGGGTCCCGGTGGTGCGGAGCGCTGAGGGCCGCTGTGCTGCGGTTGTGGAGGGCTGTGCTGTAACAGCCACGGCGTGAGGTGCTGGCCTGAGTCGCTAATGGGTCCTTTTCCCCCTCCCAGGTTTTACTGTGACTATTGTGACACGTACCTCACCCATGATTCGGTGAGTACAGAGCCTTCAGCTTTGGTTCTGACTGCACCAAAGTGAAGCTTGCATGGAGTAAAAACAAATTATTTGAAGTGCTGAGATGTTCTGCTTGTTTGCCATAGCAAAAAGAAAGAAAGAGGAGGAATGGGTGCATCAGAAGTACTCAACAACTCTTATATTAGTGGGAAGCAGCTGGCTCAGCATTAGCATGGCTTTGTGCTTAAACTTGAATCTCAGTCTTAGTAGGTGTTGTGCAGCACCTTTCCTCTCCCTGCACACAGAAACCAATCTGTTCTGTGCTTGCAAAGGAGGATAACTGTATCAAAGTTTCTATAAACTGTGGTGTTACATGATGTTTTGTGAGCTTTAGGTTTATGTGATCTTTCTCAGCCCTCCGTGAGAAAAACTCACTGCAGTGGCCGAAAGCACAAAGAGAATGTGAAAGACTACTATCAGAAATGGATGGAGGAACAAGCTCAGAGCCTGATTGATAAAACAAGTAAGACGAATCCTTTTGTGATCTTTGTGTGCTTTGCTTTTGCTTCTGTCTTTTAGTGCTTTCCTTCCTTTTTTTCTGTGCTGATTCAACATAACTTCCCTGGTTATTCTGTGAAACACAAATGAGAATGTGACTTAGAATCTGAACTCATCCCAGCGTGATCTTCACATGACAGACAGAGCCCTGTGTGATGGGCCCTGCAGCAGTTAAAGTTTTAGCAGTGCTGAGGTGGTTGTAGTTACACCCACCTTTAGCTCATAATGTCATACGAGGTGGCGTAGCACAAAGCTATGCCTGTGGGCAGGGATTTAGATAGAAAGTTCTCTCAGGCTGCTGAGTTGTAAACTGACACCCTTAGGGTTAAGGGGCAGTTTTTTGATAGTAAGTGTTCTTGTTTTTTTTTGTTTTCCTCCCTTACTACTGTAGGCTTGAATAAAGTTTTCTTTGTCAGTGTTGGGGATTCTTTTCCTCTAAGCTATCTCCCTAATACAAGTTCTCTTCAGTCTGAATGGGATAAGTAGCAGTGCCAAATTAACCTTATGGCAACTTTCTTCTTTAGATGCTTCCAGCTGTCACATCTTTTGCCTTCTTTTTGATCAGTTCCAGTCTCCTGAATTTCTTCTTTTCCCTTTCACACAAGATATTTTCTATGCTTTTTGTCACCTGCCTTTTTTCAAGATAACATGGATTAATCTAATGATCCTAGGTGAAAAGTTACAGCTGCAAATCATGTGACATATTTTCTCTGCTATCTACTACAGCTAGGTGTGTGAAATTCATCACGGAGCTCTCTAGTCTCAGCTGGAGTAATTACTGTAATAACTGTCTTCGAGAATATCAGGTGCTTCCATCTTGACAAGCAGTGTAAACCAGGGATTTGTTCCAGAGTAAGAACAAATGAGTGTGCAACACGACGTTAAGTATATTCTGAATGCTCGCCGTGAGAAGGAACGTTGAGGCAGGAGCTTCCTCTGCTTAGTAACTGTGTTTTCTTCTGGGATTCTTTCTCTTTTTTTTTCTTTTTTTTTTCCCCCCCAATGTAGCGGCTGCATTTCAGCAAGGGAAAATTCCACCGACACCATTCTCAGCACCACCTCCTGGAGGAGCCATGATCCCACCACCTCCCAGCATCCGTAAGTCTGTACTTTTGGGCTGTAATGCCAGATCTCTTTAGCAGTGTTCTATGTTTCCTGGACTTGTAAAGAAAAGTCCTCTTAGCTTGGAATAAAGCACGGAAGCTCTGAGCTTCTGAATATCGAAATGTAAGAGAATGCACTGCAAGATCTTCAGGTTGTTTTGCCTTAGTAATTCTCAGCACACTAAGAGAATCGTGTGCTCCCTCATTACTTGATAGCTGTTGTGTAGATAACCTCATGAAAACTTCCAGCACAGTGGGGTTTTTTGTATAATCATGTAAGATTGATAACCTTGTTTTGCACTGTGACTAGCAAACTGTTGAGATCCTTTTATGTACAGAGTCTAGCTGTGGCAGTTACTTGCATTAAATATGCAAAGTTGGAAATAATAGCTAGGCTATTCTTTGCTTCTCTATTTGGCACCTGAAGTCATAGCTGAAACTGAAAACGAAGGCAGGCAGTTGTAAAACAATTAAAGTTATCTTAATTACTAAAATTTCCTGTGAAGGTTAATAACTATTTGAAATTGCACATCGGTGATGAAAGCATGTAACTGATCTGTGTGTGTCCAGCTGGTCCCCCACGGCCTGGCATGATGCCGGCCCCTCACATGGGTGGACCACCAATGATGCCAATGATGGGCCCACCCCCGCCAGGAATGATGCCAGTTGGACCTGGTAAGTGGGAAAATAATTCTCTGTGATTAGCAGTTGCCAGCCTGTTCTATTCTATCCTTTACTGCTTATTGAAAGCACTTACGAGTCCTGGCGTACTGCTGAAATTATTGCTTTGGTAAATGGCAGTTCTTCTACCTCTAGTCTCATAGCACAGGCTTTAATTATTTAGCAGTTTTATGATTGCAGTGCTCTTATCTTTGCACAAGAGATGCTCTTCAGCAGTAGATGAAGTTTATTGTTTAAAATGTCCTAAAGTAGTGTGTTCTAGAGAAGCAATTTACCTCAGAAAGGTAAACTGAAATGTCTTATTCTGCTTATTGGCATTTGGAGAATTCTCAGGGGACATTTACTGGAGCAAATCTAAGGAAATGCACACATGCACAGCAAAAGCAATGAAGTGTATTTGCAGTTATTGCATTTCTGGTAGATAATGTTCTTTAAGTGTTTCTTTGAAGCACAGAATGTGTGCGTGGTCTGTGACACTGGGCAGCATTGTGGCTGTTGGGCAATAAATGGAGGAACTGCACTGAAAGCACTGTCTCACTGCTTTCTGGTAAAGCACCTGATGTCCTTTGGCAATGCTGTTCCTCAGCTGTAAGAAGTACACCAGGTCTTATTCAAACACCCTTAATTGGAGGATTTTGC